TGACTCCTGGGACAACACTGATGCTATTGTTGTATGTAGACAGCTTGGTCTAGAAACAAGTGAGTTAGCTAATATCATGTATTGTTAATACTCTTCTGTCATTAGATGGAACAGCTCTAAGCAGTGCATACTTTGGTCAGGGAAATGAATCAGTATTTTTGGCTAATGTCGCCTGCAATGGAGCTGAAATGTTTCTTGCAAACTGCACACATGACTTTGATGTTTTAAGTTACAACTGCTCACATTCAAAGGATGCTGGAGTAATGTGTCTAAGTCAGTGTGTCATGTATATCATGAGATTGTTAATTTGTGGTATAGGTTGCAATGATGGATCCATTCGTCTTGTTGGTGGTACAAACAGCAAGGAGGGACGTGTTGAGGTATGCAGTGGTGGAGTGTGGGGTACAGTCTGTGATGACTTCTGGGACAACACTGATGCTAGTGTTGTATGTAAACAGTTGGGATATCATTCTGGTAAGGAAAGATTATAGATTTCATTGTGACTGTCCCAATATAGGAACTGCCTTTGGTAGTGCCTACTTTGGACAAGGAACTGGATCAATTGTGATGGATAATACTCATTGCAATGGAACTGAATCTCTCCTTAAAAATTGTACACACATCACAGAACACAACTGTAATCATAATGAAGACGCAGGAGTCAAATGTGTTTGTAAGTATTGCATTGTTGATTACTCTTTATGTAGCTACTGACTTTCTCCTGCTGCATGTTTAATTGGAATCTTTTTGTAGAAAAGATTAATATTCAATATATTCTAGCTAATTTAACATATGAGGCTTAATTTAACATTTATTAAGGTATTCATGTACTGATATTTTTATATAGCAACAGAAAAATATATCTTATTCTGAGAAATGAATTATGCATTAATATTTTGCCAGTCCTGCAGTATCTTCAAGCTGAAACCAACCTGGTAGATGGCAAGGGGCTTAGTTATTGTTTACAAGTGTCTGCTGTAATTTTGTGGATTTAATTTTAGCAAATCTTAACAAAATCGTGAAATCAGTCCTTAAGTATTACTATCTTAATTAAAATGTAACAGTAATGTTAAATACAATGAAAACAATTTTTTATAGTATGTGTTGCTGGATCAATTCGTCTTTTCAATGGTTCACATGATTGGGAAGGAAGAGTGGAAGTGTGTGTTAATGAATCATGGGGCACTGTCTGTGATAATAACTGGGACTCTACTGATGCAGCAGTAGTGTGTAAGCTACTAGGATGGGGAACAAGTGAGTTGACTTATTATTATAGTTATTTACAATATTATCAAAGGTGGGACTGCTCTATCAAATGCTTACTTTGGTCAGGGTACTGGTAGTATCCTTCTGGATAATGTTCAGTGCACAGGAACAGAACAGTTATTGACAAACTGTAGACACTCAACCACCCACAACTGTGGACACTCTAAGGATGCTGGAGTAGCTTGTCATGGTTAGTTTCATAATCAAACTGTATTGTTAAGTAATGGGTTTATTACTTTAGTTTGTACTCCTGGTACTGTGCGTCTTGTTAATGGGTCAAACTCTATTGAAGGAAGAGTAGAACTGTGTCATAATGGAAGGTGGGGTACAGTCTGTGATGACTCCTGGGACAACACTGATGCTAGCGTTGTATGTAGACAGCTGGGATATGGTCCAGGTAAGGAAAATGTTTTTTTAGGTTGCACTGTGACTGTCCCAACATAGGAACTGCTTTTTATGATGCCTACTTTGGACAAGGAACTGGATCAGTTGTGATAGATGATGTTGATTGTAATGGAAGTGAATCTTACCTTACTAACTGTACACACACCACAGAACACAACTGTAATGATAAGGAAGTTGCAGGCATCAGATGTTCCTGTAAGTTGTACTGGTAGTTAGAGTAATTCTACTCTAATAATAGAAAATTTATTTTTCTTGGCCAAACTTTTATTCTTTAAGCTTTATAAATGAAATTAAGGAAATATACAAAGCTAATAGATAGGCACAGTCCTTCCGCAAAACATTAGTAGGAGATGATTTACTACTTTTATATATAATTTTTGTGATGCACACATGTACAATGTACTGGATTTTTACAAATTTTTAAAGTTGCTTTAAAATTAAGCCAAAGACCCTGTACTATAGTACAGGGTCTTTGCCATCCTCTTGGGCAGTATAAGTGATCTGTCAGTACTGCAGTATGATTGAAGTTTGGCCAAGGTAGGATATAATACCAACTAATAGTACCCTTAGCAATACATTATCAATAAAATAATGTATGGTGTGTGTGTTATGCTTTTAACTCTCCAAACTCTCCAATAGTTATCAATATATCTACTAATCCAGCTTCAAATCAGTTATCATCTATTTTGGTACCAGTGGCAATATCTCTTTTATTAATGTTGCTGGTAGTGCTTGCAGTAGCATTATTTGTTGCTTGTTTCATTATTAAGAAGAGAAGGAATCGTAAGCAACTGACCAGGAGAATTGAATCTAATTCCTCTTTATGTAAGTAGTTCTATAATTTAACAAATAATTATTCTCTTGTTAAGTTTACTGAAAATTTTTACTGCAATGCAGTCTATTTTGTCATTATAATATTATGTATTAATAACATGTAGTTTCAAAAAGCAACAAAGAAAATATCTACAGTTCTAGCTCTAACAAAAATGTTGAGATTTCAACTGAATATATGATTCAGCTGTCAAGTTGTATAATTCCAGGCTCAAGCATTAGTATGCAAGAGACTGTTGGACAAGGTTTGTGAAGTTTAATAATTATTATTATTTCTGTATTTTTGCCTTTCCCTCTCTTTCTTTTGCCCTTCTTTTCCTACTAATTGGATCTATTATATTTTTTACACTTTAGGTGAGTTTGGTATAGTTTATCGTGGAGTAATGACAAAAAAGGATCAAATGTCACAAGCAGTTGCTGTAAAGACATTAAAAGGTATAATATTTACAAAAACAGATTTAAGTTAGCTGAATTCTTCTATTGCAGGTTTTTACAATAAAATTGATATTGATTCTCTACTGGATGAGTGTATTACAATGATGTCATTTGATAATTTAAATGTATTACCACTGATTGGTGTGTGTCTTGATCTTGGACCAGCTCCATGCATTGTCATGCCCTTTA